AAATTGACTACAACAGTATCTATTTCTGACTCACAAAAAGACAGTCACAACAATGCACATTTCAACGATAGCATGAACACTCAACAAACACTGCTGGCAGTGACAGCATCCAGGTACATAGGGTCAGGGGGCACAGCGGTAATCTGACACCAGGGATTTAGACTTGTTTGTCTCAGCAACCCTGGGCATTGACAGCAGCAAAGGTCTCTTTCATTCTCACTTTTACTTCAGTCATTCAAGAAGAATCGTCCACCAAACACAACTGAGAGAAATGTCCTGAAGACATCAGCCTTAAGGACTCCATAATAAAGTAACAAGGATCTTTTTCCCTTCAAATAAAAGACATGGTCCTAAAGTTAGAGGATAATCTCACTCTTCAAATGCATGGTGGTATTCATATACCCTTAGACAGAACTACCAATATTCGCTTTCACAGGACAAGTTCTAGCACTTACTAGAGTAACTATGGTTCATTTAACTATGTTCATTTAAAAGCCCATTTGGTTAAAAACAATAATTAAATATTTACATTTAAATGTATCGTTGTTTTTAGTTCTGACTTACAGCAGCCCTATGCAAACACTAAGGAGCTCTGGTAGTGCAGTGGTTACGAATCGGGCTGTGAACCGCAAGGTCAGTAGTTTGAAACTACCAGCTGTTCCACAGGAGAAAGATGAGGCTTTCTGCCCCTGTAAAGATATACAGCCTCCCGAAACCCTGTGCAGGGTCACTATGGGTCAGAACCGACACCACGGCACTTAACAACAACACGCAAACATACCCAGTTTTGCAGCATCCTCACAACCGTTGCTATGTTTGAGTCCATTGTTGTAGCTACTGCATCATCCTCTTTTTCACTGTCCCACTACTCTACCAAGCATATTATCCTCTCCAGGGTCTAGTTCCTCCTGATAACATGTCCTAAGTACATGAGACAAGTATAACTATCCTTCATACTAATGAGCATGCTGGTTGCACTTTAGCAAGACAAATATGTTCGTTGTCTATTGTATATTCACTATTCTTTACCAACACAATAATTCATCAGTTCTTCTTCAGTCTTCCTTATTCACATGTATAGGAGGCAACTGAAAAGACCATAGATTTGGCCAAGTACATCTTAGTCCTGGAGGTGACATATCTGCTTTTTAATACTTTAAAGCTGTCCTTTGCAGTAGATTTGCCCAAGAAATCATTTGATTTTCTGACTGCTGCTGCCCTGGATATTGATTGTTAATCTGAGTGAAATAAAATCCTGGACAACTACAATTTTTCCACCGTTTTTATGATACTTATTGGTCCAGTTTGGGATACTTTTGTTTTCTTTATGTGAAAGTATAATCCATACTGAAGGCTACAGTCTTGGATCTTCATCAGTAAGTGCTTCAAGTCCTCTTCAATTTCAGCAAGCAAGGTTGTGTCATCTACGTGCTGAAAGTTGTTAATGAGTTCTCCTCCAATCATGATGTCATGTTCTTTCCCATATAGGCTACCTTTTCGGATGATTTGTTTAGCAAAGTGATTGACTAAGTATGGTGAAAGGATATAACCCTGACACATACCTTTCCTGATTTGAAACCACAGTGCATCCCCTTGTTTTGTTTGAAAACTGCCTCTATGTGTACAGATTCTGCATGAGCACAATTACGCGTTCTCCAAAACATTTGCAATCTCTACAATGTTATCCATGATTTGCTATGACCCACACAGTCAAATGCCTTTTCTTAGTCAATAAAACAGATAGATAAACATCTTTCTGGTATTCCCTGCTTTCAGCCAAAATCCATCTAACTTCTATAGTGATATCCCTGGTTCTATGACTTCTTCAGAATCCTACTTGAATATCTGGCAGTTCCCTGTCAACATATTCCTGCAATCATTTTTTAGTTACTTCAGCAAAATTTTACTTGTGTGATATTAATGAAATTGTTTGATCATTTCCTCATTCCATTGAATCACTTCATTTTGGAATGGGCACAAATGTAGGTATCTTCCAATCACGTGGCCAGGTAGGTGTCTTCAAATTTATAGGATTAAACAAGTGAGTGCCTCCAGCACTGCATCAGTTTGTTGAAACATCTCAATTGGTATTCCATGATTTTGTGGAGCCTTGTTTTTTACTGAGCCACCTTTGAAATCTTGGATTCCAACTCTTTTCCTTCATTTCTTCCATTTGTTTTAGCTACTTTGTGTGGAGTCATTTCAGAGTCTCTTCTAATATCCATTTTGCTCTTTTCCTTCTTTCCTGTCTCTTTAATGACTTTTTGCTTTCTTCATGTATGATATTCTAGATGCCATCCCACAACTCATCTGGTCTTCGGTCATTAGTGTTTGATGCATCAAATCTATTTTTGAGAGGGCTTCTAAATGCAGGTAGGATATACTCAAGGCCATACTTTGGCTCATGCGGACTTGTTTTCATTTTCTTCAGTATCAACTTGAATTTGGTGTTGTTGTTGTTGTTGTTAAGTACTATCGAGCTGGTACCTACTCATAGCGACCCTATGCACAACAGAACAAAACACTGTCCAGTCCTGGGCCAACCTCATAATTGTTGCCGCACTTGAGCCCATTGATGCTGACATATTGCCAATCCATCTTGCTTGGGGGTCTTCTTCTTTTTCTCTGAAAATCTACCTTACCAAACATGATATCCTTCTCCAGCAACTGGTCCCTCCTGACAATACGTCTGAAGTAAGAGAGACGAAGCTTAGCCATCCTGGCCTCCAAGGAGCACTCTGGCTGCACTTCTTCCAACACAGATCTGTTGGTTCTTTTGGCGGCCCATGGCACTTTTAATACGAGCAATACTTCTAAATGCAGTCTCTGAGCTTATTCTGACTGAGCTTCCCCATCAACTCTTTCCACAGATGCGGTCAATTTGATTCCTGTGTATTACAGGTATATGGTTGCCGTTCATGCTATTGAAAAATTCATTCTATCTTGCAAAATTCCATCATAGGATCTCTGTTGTTTTGCCTGTCACCAAGGCCAAATTTTCCAACTACTGATGATTTTTTTTTTCCCAAATTTTTGCATTCCAATCTTTGGTTGTTGTTGTTGAGTGCCGTCAAGTCAGATCCAACTCATAGCAAACCTGTATAGGGTTTCTGAGGAGCAGCTGGTGAGCCTGAACCATTGACCTTGTGGTTCAAACCAACTTTGTAATCCAGTGCCTTAACCAACAGTGCCTCACTAAGACTCCACATTGGTATTAACTTTTCTCTGATCAATTTCAGATTGTAGAAGTTGGTAAAAATCTTAAATAACCTTTGATATTAGTTGTTGGTGAGTACATTTGAAAAATATTATTACTTGGTTTTCCTTGTTAAGCATATGGATATCATCACTGATAGCACTGTACTTCAGGAGATATCTTAAAAGGGTCTTTTTGGTGATGAATGCAATACCCTTCCTGCTTAATTTGTCATTCCCAGCATAGCAGATCATATGATTGTCCAATTCAAAATGGTCCGTACCAGACCACTTCAACAGCTCCTTTGTGCCCAGGATCTTCAAGTATTTTATTTTTGACAACTTCAAATTTTCCTGGATTCACACTTCAGACATTCCACCGTCCAATTACTGATGGATATTTGCAGCTGTTTCTTCCCGTTTAAATCATGCCACATCAGCAAATGAAGGTCCTGAAAGTATCAAGGTAGACTCTTCTTTGAAGAGACAGCTCTTCCTCTGTAGTATTTTGAGTATCTTCCAAACTAAGGTGCTCATCTTCCAGCATCATATCAGACTATGTTCTGCTGCTATACATAAAATTTTCACTGGCCAATTTTTTTCAGATGTAAATCACCAGATTCTTCTTCCCAGATGCCTTTCTACCTGGATGACCCAGGTGATACTTGAAATATCAGTGGCATCAATTCTAGCTAGCATCACAGCATCATTCAAGTCAGTATGAACTACAATCCAGAACACAACAAAACCAAACAAGTGGTACAAAATACATTCGGCTCATCTGAAACAACTCTTTTAATAAAAGGGCTTAAGTAAACCAAGTTAACCAGTCTTTTTCTTATTCTTTTTGTCTGTTGCTTTTATTGAATGAAGATTTATTTCTCTAGATATTTTACTATGCTTAACGTATTAGATGTGTTTTTCCTGTAGACCAATCGTCTTCCATAGAAAACAATTCCACGCTCTAAGCACTCTCAAACCCTAATTCCAAAGCAAAGGAACCAAAAACAAAGTACATCTGCACTCATATACCACTTCCTCAAGGTCAAATAAAATAATGTCACGAAATTTGGGGTACCTTAGCATAGTGGTTATGAATCGGGCTGTAAACCACAAGGTCAGCAGTTCGAAACTACCAGTTGTTCTGTGGGAGAAAGATGAGGCTTTCTGCTCCTGTAAAGACTTACAGCCTCAGAAACCCTGTACAGGGTCACTATGAATCAGAACCAACTCCACGGCACATAACCACCACCATATAACAAACACATCAATAATCTGTCATATAAGCAAAATATTATTCAAAGATATGACTTGGCTACAGCTCCCTGCAGCTAGTGTCCCACTTTTGAAAAACAAACTCGACAAACAAAAACATCCCGAGTTACAACAGAAGCCTTGTGAACTGTAAAGCTTAAACACCTGTAATACAGTGCCCTTCACCCTGTGGGTGCTCCATAAATACTCAGTAACTGATTCATAGGCCAATTACAGAGTCTGGCATTTCAGAGTGTGTGTCTCGCTTGTCCTACTCTGAGGAGCGTTATGAGTTTACAGTTTGCTGTTTATTGTGATGGTAGGAAAAACTAATATAGATAGAACTCTAAAAACCTAAGGTATTGACAGGTTCGAGCAATGTTACCCTGCACCTCTCCCCAAGCACCTGAATCTTAAAAAATGGGTGATGTTATTTTCACCACTGGAGGAAAGTGAGTAAAAGTGCCATAAAAGCTGTATGGTGTTTCCTCACCAAACAGCCAACAAACTAAATGGAAGAGGAAAAAACAAAGACAAAAATCGAAACTTACTTTTCATAGACCAGCTCCTCATCGACGGAGAAATAGTGGGTATTTACTGTGCTTTTTGGTCTATTCCTTAAAGTAGCAAAATATAACCGATCTGAAAGACAAGTTTAAAAGACAGGACATCAGAAACAGGAAAGCTGAGTGAGGGTAGTGACAATATACAAATGATCACAATAATAACTGCTCCCCAAAGTTTAAAGACCCAAATAACACGTGGAATGTCTGCCAAAACATGATCTCTCCCAGAAATAGACAGAACCCAGGAGGGGACAAGAGGACCACACGGAGGGACTTAGCTGGGAACCCGGATACCACATCTCCTGGTTTCAAACTAGCTGAAGATATGAGCTGGGGGTACTGAGAACTGGGGATACCCATAGATGGAGATGCAAGTTTGATTTAGAAAGATCCAGATCCCAGCAACTGCAAAGGGGGAAGAGCGAGGTGAGAGTCTCTCTTGTAGCTCCGGACTTCAAGAAGAGGAAGAAAGGAGACACTGGGGGGTGTGGCGATGGTGTCCGAAAACTGAGACCAGCAAGAGTAGGATAAAGGCTGCCTGAAAGAACACCGTAGCAGGATCCCCACGGTCTACAGCGTACAGAAGTCTAGACAGAAGTAAGCACTGTCCCACTAAGGGGTGAGAAGGCCATCTGAGCGAGCTACAGAGTGAACGAGGGACGCAAGAAAGACAGAGAAGCCGGAAGCAGGGGGTCCTTGGGGAGAAAGAGTACCGACAGAGGAACAGAGCTCGTGCAGTGGCTGGACACTTTGGGACCACAGGAGAAGTCGGGGGCAATGGCTGGGACATAAGAGCGAGAAGTGAAGAGTTGGGGCGAGAGAGGGCTGGAGGATTCGGGGCAGCTGCTCCTCACCTTTCATGAACTCACAAGACCCGATTAGTTCCCCTGACTCCGCTGCCATCTTAAGCGAGATACGCACGGGGGAGGGCTGGGTCGTGGCCAGCTGAGGTCACCCACCCCCGGTGGCTTCCCCACTGCCCAGGAATCGGGGTGCTAGTAGTCCCAAACGCCGAACTGGCCCGAGAGAGGCAGCAGGCAATGAAGGCGGAGGCGGCTAGGGGGTCAGCGCGCCGGACGCCCCGGGGACATTCCGCCGGGAGCTCGAGCCCGCTCTGCGCGGGGCGCACACGCCCGGGGCTGTGGATGCTTGGAGCCGGAGCTGGCTGCTGCAGCTCCGCCGCCACTGCCTCCGCCGCGCCTGGGAAACGCAGACCAGCTCGCGCGGCCGGGCAAAGTCTTCCCCCGGCTCCCAAAGTGATCATGGAGGAGAAGACGCCTGGCCCCGATCGCGCCCGTGGCTACTTCTGCTGCAGCCGGCTGGACTCCGGTGCCCGCGGGCTGGCACCAGCTGCTCCAGCTCCTCCTTCGCCACCTCCTTTCAGCAGCTCCTCTTCCTCCTCCTCCCCTTAGGTCCACCCCCAGACCTTCCTCCCCGCCCTCCCCCAACCCCCTCCACTTTCACGACTCCGCGGCCATCCCTTAAAGGGACAGCCCTTCTCCTTTCTCCGCGCTGGCCTCGCGCCGTAGTTACCAGGCGCCCCGCGGGTCACTAGAAGCCAGTTGCTAAGGCTTTGTTGCCGTTCACCAATTGCGGTTCAGGAAATCCGGCCGGCCGCCGAGGGGAGACGGGCGGGGCTTGCAGGCCAGAAACTTATGAATGAAACCGTAGAGTTGGAGGTCCAGGAGGACCTTGTTACCGACTCCGAGACAAAGACAAGTCGGTGCCCCTTCTTTTTCAGCACCTACTAAGTCTTCTCCTACTTTCGATTTTTCTTCGTAATATCTCTCATTCTTTCTCTTTCCTCCAACTCACATTCTTCCAAACTCCTGCGCGCGCACACACACAAAATTAAAAGACCTCAGATCTCTGTACCCTGCCTTTCCCTCTAGTTAACTTTTCAACCAATCTTCATCCACACCACCGAGGGCTTCTAGCTTTACAAACTATAAAATTTTTAAAAGATGCGCTACCTCCTAGCTCAATACAGGTACCGGTCCCTACACATATTGGACTCTGATATAACTTGTCCTTTGTTCTCACGGGGGAAAATGTTCCCATCCGGTTCCCCGGGTGCTCTCATAGAGGATGCCACAGTAGGCGCAAAGTCATCACAAATGCCAAACCTTTACACGGCTCTGTGAAAAGGAGATAGTGAAAAGGAGAAAGGGGATGGGGATGGGACCACAAGCCAAGGAGGGAAATTAACACAAAATAAGTGAGGTTGGCCCCAGGATCGGGCAGTGTTTCGTTCTGCTGTGCATAAGGTCGCTAAGAGTCGGTACCGACTCGATGGCACCTAACAATTTCTTTGTATAATCTCAACTGAAGCCCTGCCGAGCCCAAAGAATGTTCGATACTTGTTTCTGCGAGGCTCTTCATGCTGTTTGATCAACTTTAATGCTCCAAGTCCTATGGTCGTGCCTAATTAGTGAGAAGTCCCTTCCGTACGAAAATGGCGCTACAGAGCCACCATGAAAAGAGCATGCGCTCTGATTTCTTGAGAAACAGAAAGGGAATTTCTTTTGGCGACGCTAGTTCACCTCTGTAGAGGAAGGGGGCGCACACACGAAGGGCAGACGGACCAGCTTTTACAAAGAGCGACCTCCCTCCCACTAGGATTTACAACCTCTGAAACTCTATATAAGGTCTCTATGAATCAGAATGGCATTGGGGATTTTTTTTTGCGGGGTGGTCAGGGAGTAAAGGTCAACTCAACTATTTCACTAGCTATTCAAAAAGCCAAAGAGGCACAAAACATTATAAATGAATATTACTTTGATATTCAGAAACATTCATTATTCGGGAACATCTCAGTAATCCTAAAACAAACATACCCTTGTAAAATAGTTCAAACAGAAGCTATAAACAGGCAAATCCCTTAATTCTAAACCCAGAACCATATAAATTTGAAACTGGAAGGAAACCTAAAGGTCACCTCTTTACAATCCCCTAATTTTCACAAGTTGTTGTTAGGTGCCGAGTTGGTACGGATTCATAACGACCCTATGCACAACAGAACGAAACACTGCCGTGCCCTGGGCCATCCTCACAATTGTTGCCACCCTTGAGGCCATTGATGCTGCCACTTTGCCAATCCATCTCGCTGGGGTGTCTTCCTCTTTTTCTCTAAATTTCAGAGTCCCCAAAACTGGGAAAGACCTGAAAAGATGAATTGTGATGAGTGTTCTGAAACTATTAGATGCATTCCATGTTTTCATGAATTCCAGCCACCTCTGGTTCTAGAGGTCTAAAGAACAAAGCATGTTCACAAACACAATTTGTTGTTGTTGTTAAGTGCCATCGAGTCGGTTCCGACCCTTAGTGACCCTGCATAGGGTTTCTGAGGAGTGGAACCATCTACCTTGAGGTTCAAACTGACCTTGCTGTCCAAGGCATTATTTCGCAGCGCCACACTGGGACTCCAAGCTGTGGTTTTTCCTGATGTTTATAATACCCCAATTTTGGTGTCAATGTTTGTCAATCCGAACATTTTATTTAAAGAAAATTCTACTTGAGAGTTTATATGTGAAAGACATGGAAAGGTATATTACTCTCTCAAAAGCTTGCTTTTTAAAAAACAAAACAAAACAAAAAAAGAAACCTAAATCAAGCCAATGATGGTAATCTATTTCTAAATTTGGTGAATTAAAATCATCCTAGTGTGTGGCGCTGTGGGCTAATGCGACAGACTGCAAAGTCATTTTAACTGCAAGGTCAGTGGTTCAAGCTCACCAGTTGCTCCTTGGAAACCCTATACGGGGGTTGCTATGGGTCGGAATCGACTCCATGGCACTTAACAACAAGTATCTAAACTATTAGAAAAAATGTTTTAGAAAAACTGCATTAAAAGAAGCCAGAGTTCTCATGAACCTTTCATTTTAACAAAGTAAATATATATAGCTCAGTAAAAAGAATCCCAAATTCTTAGAAGAATCCAGCTTTAACTGAGTACTCTCTTGTTTTCTAAGGAGTATTTACTAAGCCACTGTCATTTACTTCTCTTTGCTTAGAAATTTTGTTCATGAGACATAAAGTATAACAGAACGAATTTGTTGTTGTTTGTTAAGTGCCGTCGAGTCGGTTCCGACTCATAGTGCCCTTGTATAGGGATTCCAAGAAGCAGCTAGCGAGTTTGAACCACCAGCCTTGAGGTTCAAGCCACCAACCTTGAGGTTCAAGCCGATCTTGGAGTCCAGCATTAACGCACAGCGCCACACCAGAACGAACAGCAGTACTTAAAATCAAGAACTCTAACTGAAAAGTTAATTTTTCCTGTTACTACCATATGAAGATTATGACATTTTTGAAGGTAATAACTCTGTATTGTAATTAATTGGCTTTTTTAATGTTTTATGAAAGGAGTCCTGGTGTGGCTCTGTGGGTTAATGCGCAGGACTGAAAAGTCAATTTGAACCTCAAGGTTGGTGGTTCAAGCTCATCAGTCACTTCTGGAAAACCCCGTCCAAGGTTGCTGTGAGTAGGAGTCGACTCGACAGCGCTTAACAACAACAACAAATGAAAAGAAAATAGGAGTCCTGATATGGAAAGGACTTCACAGCACGTAACAATAGTGAAAGGGGGGAAAGTAATAGTTTAATTAAATCTCTCAAATTCAAAATCTGTACCATCTAAAAGGTATTGACAATTCTACAAGTAAAATTTTGTACTACAATATAGCAAATACATCCACCACACATATATGTCAGGGTTCTAATGAGATCACAAAACACTTTATTCTCTCAATTATTACGGGCCAAAGTTCCTATTGGTCATGGTTTCATAATAAAGGTATGTTTTTACAGACTGTGAAGGAACACATAGAATAAACTACTTTGTAATCACCCAATGTTATATATAAGGAATTGGATTTTATTTTAAGCAATATTAAAATTGTTTTCACATAAATCTTAAAGAAGGTATTGTTATATACAGAAATTTAGCAGTCAAGTATAGAATTAGCTCACTGACTCTGCATTCATTTATTGAATTTAGTCTAACGCTGCAATCACTGATTGAATCTGGGCTCGAACATCCCCCTCTGGTTCTAATCCTACCCCATAAGGCCATATGGAGCACCTTAGTCTTTCTTGTACATGAAAACTCTTCAAAAATGCAATGGCAACTCCTCTGAACCACCCTTTGCCCTTAACTTTCCGAGATTAAAATTCCCATTTTCTTTGTTGTATGGTTTCAAGCTCCCTCACTGTCCATTCTATTTGTAAATTTGTCTGATATATATATATATATCATAACATGTGTCCCAGACTGAATGCAAGCCAATGGTGACCTGCTATGACAGTTCTGAGATCAGCAAAAAGCACTGATGGGAGGTCTACACACAAGTAAAAGTACTGGAAAACACAAAAAAACTAAGTTTTATCCTCTAACTGCAAGCCAAAAAAGAATAATGTGCTCAGGATAGTCAAAGGACTAACAGTTGTGAGATTTACATATCCTAATCTTGTAAAATTATCATTTCTCATCAGAATGTTTCATTATAACATGCTCTTTCCATTGCTTGTTCAGTACTGAAGATAACAAGAAAGTAAAAGAAAACATAGAGTAAATACATTGAATTTTTCCTAGAAATTCAAATGAACTGTGAAAGAAGCAGCAGTTGAAATTCATAATGCTGAGTAATTCGAAATTCAACATAATTTGAATTACTTACCTATTTTTATAATTAATTTATCTGATGCCCATAATAGTTTGAAGCCGCTTTTAGTAAAATAATATACAAAAGGAAGCTATTACAGTAGAACCAGAAAACACAAAAAAAATGTAGTGTAGCTCATGAAATATGTCACTCACAGAAGCTAAGATCTTGACTCAACCTTGCCTTAGTCTGTAGCACACTAACCACAAATGCTATTATTGTTGTTGTTAAGTGCCATCAAGTCAGTTCTGGCTCATAGTAACCCTGTATAGGGTTTCCAAGGAGCCCCTGGGGAGCTTGAACCACCGACCTTGTGGTTCAAACCAACCTTACAGTCCACATCATTAACCTGTAGCACCACACCAGGACTCCATACAAATGCTGTTAAAGAATTCCAAATCAGAATCACAGAGTAAGAAACAGAAGGGACCCGAGAGATCAACCAGTGCCAGTGTTTTCAAAAAGACCCCATGGAACCGAAGGGGTGAAGTGAAAATCCTGCCCTGGGGGAGGAGGTGGGAAGGATGCAAATAAATAGGCAGCCAGAACTTCTTGAAAAGATTTCACCTGAAACAAAATCAGTGGTAAAATATAAGGGGGAAAAAAAAGAAGAAAGATATGCAATGGGTTTTTCTAAAGTCACATACCTGAGTGGCAGTGGAAAAACAGCAGTATTCAGCATGTGCTCTAATACCAAGAATCTTATCTCAATTTTCTCCTACTTAGTTTAATTTA